GATAAAACTAATTATCTTTTTAGAAGATTCCTTCTCCCAGCAGTCCTCCCTTTTTTATCTTTGAATGGCGCTCCTGTTGGGTTGGTCGATTCCTACAAAATATTTGTGTATCTTGGTCCATTTGCATTTCTCTTTTAAGCCCCATGTCAACAATGTGGAAAAGAAACTGAAAGTTAAACTAGGTTTATTTTTCAGAAATAGATCCTGTGTAACTCTGAATGCTAGGAAACACCTTGTAACTGTGACTTTCCTTCCCTCCATTGACCATCCATCCATCCATCCATCCATCATCTTTTACCCACTTCTTCCATTTTGGGTCACAGGAGTCGTCGGTGCACATGTCTACCAATCATTGTGCAATGGGCGGGGTACATCCTGGACAGGTGACAAGTCCATCACAGGGTGACAGAGACAAACAACAATTCACTTTCTCACATCTAGGGACAATTTAGAGTTACCATCAGTCTAACATGCATGTTTTTGGTCTGTGGGAGGAATCCGGAGTACCCGGAGAAAACCCACACATACACGAATAATTTTTAAATATTATTTTCTTATTTTCAAAATGTATCACTTTATATATTTTCTTTGATGATTGTCTACTGTTGTCATCACTCTTTGTTAAAAAAAAAAAAAAGGTCTCTGTTGTAAATGAGTCCTCAAGGCTCAATGGGACCAACGGTAAAAATTTAATTTAAATAAAGGTTGAATGAAAATTACTTCAGGGAAAGTAAGATTCCAGCAGCATCGTACAAGAAATAGAAAGACAATAAAAAATAAATAAATACATAAACTAAACAAGAATATAGTAACAGCACACAGTGTCAAAAAGTGACCAGTAGCAAGTATAATAAAATTATTCAAAATAAAATATACACATAAATATAGATTTAACAGTAAATATTACTATAAGACCAGTTACTGGCTAGTTTAAGGAAGTGGTGGTGGCTGCTGGATTAATAGGAGTTTGGACAAATGACTGCAAAAGCTAACAAAAGTAAAAAAAATAAAACATTAAAATGATAAAAAAATTAAGATCTAAAATCATGAGGCAGACAATACGATTTCTATTTATGCAACTTCAGCTGAAAAACATGTGTACTTGTGCTTATGTGTTACTTACAGCAAACTGACAATCCATGGGTGGACAGTGGCTCAGTTCACTGATTTCAGTTTTATTTGAACACACCGTTTCCAGAATGGTGAAATCCACTACGTAGGTCCAACCGTACAACCACTGACGGAGCAAACAGAAGCATATAGTTACAAATGCCTGTGTATAAGTACTACATATTTAAATTTCCCTCAAATACATTATATATACACACATATGTATATACACATACACACATATGTATATACATACACACACGTATACACACGTAAGTGTTTCTGTCAGTAACCATTTAACCATTTGTATTCCCCTGTGTAACTAGTTTTTTTTAATAAGTTTAATGCAATTTTTTTTTTTACCTGGTAAACGGATTTTGTTACATTTTCCAGAGTGAAGTAATTCTCCAGGTGATTCTCTTCATTAAACTTTTTCAGGGAGAGTCTGGCTGCTTCCATGACGATTGGGTCATTCAATTCATTAGCTGTTGCACAGTCTGGGCACGTCTCTTTAATTAAAACAGGGGGAACTAACCACAAAAAAATTAGAGATAATAAACTCAAAAGTGACCTGGAGGGACAAAGAATCAGACTGCGTGATATACATCTTGGAACGAGGAGGTGCAGAGGTGTGAGTGAGAATGTGAATGTTGTTTTTTTGTCGTTTGTCTTTATGTGTCCCTGGGATGGACTGGAGACCTGTCCAGGGTGTCCCCTACTTCTCGCACTGTGATAGTTGGACATGGGCACTAGTGATCCCTGCGACTTGAAAAGGAAGACTCGTGTAAAGATAATGGATGGATGGATGAAGATAATTTTTCACTAATAATTTGTATTTTAATTGTATCTCAATGGTCTGAACTTCTCACTAGCATAATTAAATAAACGTTGAATAACATGTATAAATAAAGACTTAATTATTATTATTATTTTTTAAATTTGATGTTCACTCATTTTCAATTCAACCTTTATAAAGGATCCAAATTAATCCAGGTGCGTGCAAATGAAAGAGCAGTACTCCGATTCAGACGCCGGTCCTTTGAGCAACTCCTCCACAGTGCTTCCCAGCATGAGAGGCTCCTCACAGGCGAGCAGTGGTCAGGATGACTGCAGAGCCTGGAGCTGTCCTTGGTTCAGTTCTGGTCCAGATCCGTCAAACTCCCCAGCAGCTGACAGCAGAAGCCCACGGACAGAGACGGTCCTTTGGTGAGCAAGGATCAGGCTAACCGCTGAGGTTGTGACCGGATCGGTTCTGGTCCAGCTCGGTCTACTTCGCCCACTGCCGACAGCAAGACATACACGAGGAGAGCTGGTCCAATAGAGATCCAGCACAAAACCACACAGGAGAACCGGTCGGAATCAAACAGCCCACAGAGGTCCAGATGAAAAGTCCAGTTGAACCGAAGGAAAACGCCGGACCTTCGAACAACGTCTCCCTGCACCAGAGGCCACCTGGCCTGCAAGCATTGCTTGGCATGACCAGTGGGATGGAAGTGGACCTGGTCCCAAAGTTCCTGGACGGTTTCAATCGGCTGTCTGAGTTCACTGCCCACTGAAAATGGTTGGAAGCAGGACAAGATTTTTTTAGTCGGGTTCGAAATCGGGTCAGTTTGACGTTACAGGACGGTAGAAAAGCTGCCGTCCTGCTGCCGATGTTAGCACCTATAAATGTGTAGAAATCATTGACCACCACCAGTGTCTAAAACTATTTAAATCTTTAGTATAATGTGTATTTCTTGTTATAAAATTAACTCTTTAAATAATAATAATCACAAAAAATACAAAGATTTAAAATCATCCATCCATCCATTATCTTTTACCCGCTTCTTCCATTTTGGGTGACAGGGGTTGCCAGTGCCCATGTCCAGCAATCACTGTGCGAGGGGCGGGGTACACCCTGGACGGGTCACAAGTCCATCACAGGGACACATGGAGACAAACGAGACAAATTTTTTTTTAATTTTTTTAAAATCTATTCAGTGTAAATTACTTTTTAGATTAGAACAAGTAATAAATTGACAAACCTTTCCTCAATGAACACGAGTAACTTTTCAGTTCAACCTGAGTGTCAACAAGAGCAGATACTTCACACTCGCCATACACCTGAAACATCCAAACATGTGGTAAGAACAGACAACCAAATAATCAAACATATTTACATTTAGGTTTCCATCCTCATGAAAAAGTTGAATATTTAGTTTGTATCTTTATTACATTATTTTAGGTGCAAATACTGATTTTTTGTGCGATTTTGTATTTTTTACATAATCACACACATGTATATTGTACATATGTAAATAAACACATGTAAATATCTGTACATGCATGTATAAATGTATCGTAAAGGTGCACAGTATATAGGAACATTCGCTGACACTTGCACATTCCTTGTATCTGCATCAGTATTGCATCTTGTGCTCTAAACACAGCGAAGTATAAAAAATTCATGTAAATTATGGATTCCTACACTGATGTGGAGAAATGAAAGGAAATATTCCAAATTGTACGGTGCACCATGCGAAATTGAATGACAATAAAGCTTATAAAATTAAAAGTTAAGCTCCATAAAATACCGTTTGGCAATAAAACTATGCTTCACAGTATCCTGATGCATGCTCAATAATCCAGGTAGAAAAATCTAAAAAAGTTAAATCTGGTCCTCTGGACATTCAAAAAAACCCAAAACAAAGCAAAACACCAAAAAATGTAGAAACGTTTCGTCTCTCGTCCGAGAGACTTCTTCAGTCTGGTTTATATATATATATATATATATATATATATATATATACACACATATATACGCAACATGATGTGAAACGATTGAGAGAGGAGTAAAGGAGGCCATCTTTGTGAAAATAAATCGTCCATCGTTAAACAGGGGTGGAGGCCTCCGGGTTCAACTGTCCCCCTCTTACAATGCTGTGATTGCTAGTATCACTCAGCCCTCTGTGAACAGTAAACAGCCATCAGTGTGCTAATGATCCATTGTTAGGCTGATGGTCCTTCTTGACCATGTGGGCAGCTGGTTTTGGTTGTCAGCAGCAAAACTGGTTGATCCACTCTGAGAAGGTGCTTTTTATAAGAGTGAGCTGAATACAGCACCTCAGACTGAAGAAGTCTTTCGGATGAAAGGCGAAACGTTTCTACAATTTTTTTTCTTCCATTTTGTTTTGTTTTTTGAATGTCCAGATTACCAGACTTAACTTTTTTAAGATCATTTTTAAATTGTATAACTTCAGACAGCCGCAATCTGGCAGGAGATTTAAAAACATCTTTGTTATCATCAGTCTCCACAGAGTCTGACTATGGTTCTCAGCTGAGCGTGATGAAGGGGGGTCCAGCCATCCCCACATCAGACGTGCGCAGGCACTTCTTATTTGAAAAAATATCGTACTCTAATTATCTTGTATGGGCCCAGATTCTTGTTCC